AAGTCAATACAATCCATTTTCGCCTTGGGTTTCCATTGAGCTTTAATTCTTGGGAGGATAAAATTATATCCAGCTCTGTCTGTTCCAAAGGCTTTGATGATGATCGAGTTGAGCCATGGGGATCTAATCTTCCTCTTTTCTTCCTTGGAGATAAGGATTGTGGGGATAGACCCATTATCTTCCATGTCTGAATCCTCTTCCAAGAAGTCATCACGCGAAGAGCTGTCGCAAATAATTGAAGCTGGTTCTTGGGCGGAGACCATATCCTTGTACGAGATAGGTTGCTCCATTGGTTCCTGCATTAAAAAATCTTCAGCGATCGAATGGTTTTCGTCTCCCTTGATTCGTTTCACTGAACGAGTCAAGATATCTGTTTCTTGTGAGCTAGAACAGGGGTTGAAAGCGGCGAACCTCGAGAGAGCCGTTGATGTAAGGGTAATGGAAGTTATATAGATTGTAGTTAATATATATCAAACTTTTACCTTGAGTTTGGCATAACCTAAATGGGTGCACCAGATGAGATTGACAAATTCGAACAAGGCAAAGAAACTAAAACAATTTTATCCTCCATGTTGAATGAGTCAAGGCTTCTGTCCTTGTATGATGTAAAATATAAGTGATTAGCTTTTACTCCTAATCAAGTTGCAGAGCAAGAAAATGAAGAATTCCCCCCACCCACGAAGAACGCTTGGTCCTTGAGACTTTCCACCTTTTTCCATTCCATACTTGAGAAATCCAGTTTGAAAACCTCTATGGCAACCACTCGTTTCCCATTTGGCCTTACTATGACCAAATAAACTGTAAAGAGTTCACCACATGATTCTAACATGTAGTGAGTAAAAGACTAGTAGTAACTTTCTAACAGCTCTGGTATTGACACATCAAGCAAAACCAATGCAAGATAATGATTGTCTTGCATGCTCAGATCAATTTTAACTAGTTTGCTAAACCTGAAAGTATTGCAGTATAGTGTACCGTTGCAAACAACAAAATTAGTCAAAAAATCTCCTTCAACATGCTTAAAATTTTCTGTGATAGGTTGATGAGTCCATTTTTCATCTCCAATCCTACAAAAGATGAACAAAGGAACATTCTTTTCAAATAATATAAGCATACTATCATGATTACCAGGGGGAAAAGACAGTATACGGCTACTAATCACTTGTTCAGGCTTCAAGACAAGTGCAGGTAAGCATATGAACTCTAGGGTCAAAGGATTCCAAAGAGAGTAGTGATTGTTCTGTTTATCACGTAGGATTAACCAACCATAACAAGAAGCCCGGATTTGTTTTCCTCTCAGCTCCGGAGGTTTTGTTTTGATAACATATTTTGGATCTCCGATCTGGCCAATTGAGTAGAAGGCCATCTTCTCGCTATCCTTACCGCCTATGTATACTAGATAGGGTGACGGCCGAACTTTCCAGCAGCCTGATTCTACCTCCATGTGGACCTTCTCACATAGAACAAGTTGAAATTGAGAAATCTAAGACTCCAAGGATTCTGCAAGTAATATTTATAGATAGATTCGGCAGGATTGTAATTCCAAATTTGATTGGGATTCTGCAAGGTATAAAACACTCCTATATGAACAATGATAAACGAAACAAAATTTGAAATTAAAATTTGGTACTAATGATATATTATATAAACTGGCTTATATTAAAATGTAAATTTTATATTATCAATCAATATATATACAAAATGCTACTTTATGCATTAAA